AAGGCTGAGGCGGAAGGATCGCCGGAGCCCAGCAGGTTGAGGCTGCGGTGGCCGGGAGTGGCCACTGCACTCCAATCTGGGCAACAGAGTGAGACTCCAACTCAAAAAAATAAAAAATTTAAAAATTAAAAAAAAAAAATAAAGAAAGTGTTAAGAAGGAGAGGTAGGCCGGGCTCAGTGGCTTAGCCTGTAATCCCAGCCTTTTGGGAGGCCAAGGCAAGTAGATTGCCTGAGCCCACGAGTTCGAGACCAGCCCAGGCAACTTGGCAAGACCTCTTCTTTACAATAAAATAAAAAATAGCCAGGCATGGTAGTGCACATCTGTAGTTCCAGCTACTCAGAAGTCTGAGGCAGGAGGATCACTGGAGCTCAGCAGGTCAACACTGGGGTGGCCGTGAGCGTGCATGCCACTGCACTCCAGCCTGGGCAAAGAAGTGAGACTCCAACTCCAAAAAAAAAAAAAGGAGCGGTAAAAGGAATATAACTTATTGGCTTGAAATGAATTCTGGAGTCAGACCTTGGATATCTTGTATGCACAGTGATGGACAGAATTTCCCAAGAAATAACCCCCTAACAAGTCTTGTTCTAAAATTACACTGATATAAAAATAACCTGATTGGGATAATGCAAGTGTGAATTAGGTTCACACATTGGTGCCTTCGCTGGGACCAAAAAGAGACTTTCCTGAGGGTTGTCTTGTTCCCAGTTTTTTTTTTTTGAATTGAAGTCTCACTCTGTCGCCCAGACGAGTGCGGTGGCACACTCCCAGCCTCGACCTGCTGGGCTCCGGCGATCCTTCCGCTCAGCCTTCCAAGTAGCTGGGTTCCCAGTTTCTCAGCTACTCATCATGGATACCTCTGAATTGTCCTCTTGGATCGTTTCCTACCTGACTTTGGCAGTCAGATCTGGTGATTTTCAACGTAAAGAAATGAACAGCTGATGATGGAAGAAATTTGGAAATAAACTGAGGGTGACTCATCATCAAGATGAAAAACAATTATGGATTATTATCTGCTGTTTATTTCCACTCCAAATGCTATTCCCCATCATTATTCTGCTCTATAAAGAATGGGTCCAAGCCGGGCTCAGTGGCTCAGCTGTAATCCCGTGCCTTGGGAGGCTGAGGTGAGTGAATTGCCTGAGCCCGTGGGTTCAAGACCCACCTGGGCAACATGGTGAGACCTCATCTCTACAATAAATCAAAAATTAGCCGGGCGTGGTAGCACGCGCCTGTAGTTCCAGCTACTTGGAAGGCTGAGGTGGAAGGATCGCAGGAGCCCAGCAGGTTGAGGCTGTGGCGGCCGGAAGCGGCCACTGCACTCCAGTCTGGGTGACAGAGTGAGACTCCAACTCAAAAAAGAAAAGAAAAGAATGGGTCCAGGCCAGGCGTGGTATCTCACATGTGTAATCTCAGCACTTTGGGAGGCCGAGGTGAGAGGATTGCCTGAGTCCAGGGGTTCAAGACCAGCCAGGGCAACTTGGCAAGCCCTTATCTCTACAGTTAATTAAAAAAAAATTGGAAGTAGTGGGGAACTGCCAGGGGAGGGAGGGGCACATCTCATCAACAAGGGTACCTGCATAATGAATGTCTGTATACCTAACCCTGAATTGTACCGCACATCTTAAAATAAGAGAAAAAAAATTAACTGGGTGTGGTAGCACGTACCTGTAGTTCCAACTACTTGGAAGGCTGAGGCGGAAGGGTTGCCTGAACCCAGCAGATTGAGGCTGCGGTGGCCATGAGCATGCCACTACTCTCCAACCTGTGTGACAGAGTGAGACTCGGACTCAAAAAAAAAAAAAAAAAGAGTGGATCATTTGGCAAGTGGTTGTACTTAATATGTACAGGGATGTCATTCAGGTGAGAGTAGGCGATGAAAAGTTGACTGGAAACTTTATTCATTGTGCAATACAGGTTGTTGTTACCTTGTTGTTTTTTTTTTTTGTAGAGATGAGGGCTTGCTATGTTACCAAGGCTGGTCTGGAACTGCTGGGCGCAAGCAATCCTCTTGCCTCAGCCTCCAAAGTGCTGGGATTATAGGTGTGAGCCATTGTGCCTGTGACCTAAGCTTGCTTTCTCTTTCTCACAAGGCAATGTTTTAATTCCCATTTTAATTCCCATGGTTTTAGCTTTTTTTTTTTTTTTTTTTTTTTTGAGTTGGAGTCTCACTCTGTCACCCTAGACTGGAGTGCAGTGGCCACTCCCGGCCACCGCAGCCTCGACCTG